AATGAAGAGGGCTAAGGCACCCCCTCAGCAGTGGTGGAGGTTTGCACCTTTGACTCTTCAAATGCAGGTGTCAACGGGATGATGATCCATCCCGAGGAATCAATAGGAAAACCCACACTGGCAGCCACAGGGATAGATTTGCACTTCCAGGGCCATGCCCAGTGCCCCAGACACAGTGCCCTGATAAAAGTCAACCCAGACACCTACATCTTGGTTGGTTCAGTGCACGTGTCTACACGGCATCTACAGTCTCTGCCTTGCACACCTCCTGACACCAAAAAGCACTTTCACGTTTAACACTCATCAAAAGATGGGGGAAAAAAGAACTTTGAAGGACAATTTTTCATTCTCTTTTCAAAAATAACTGCAATTAAAAAAGTGGGAGCCAAAAGACAATTGAAATTCTGCCATTTGTGCAGCTCAAAGAAGAATGTGAGCCCTCGGTTTCTTTCTTGCCTTGCCCTCCCCTCCAGGTGCAACATAACCTGGGGAAAACAGGGAAACAGCAAATGGGTCCCAGGGGGAAGCACTGAAAGGGAATGAAGTGCTGCAAAATTAACATGAAAACATTCTTGATTTCCCCCCCCAAGAAAATAAAGCACCTAAAGAAAAGAAAAAATCTGTAAAATTGTCGAGAAAGGGGTGCCTTTTCCTGAAAAAAAGCCATGGCAAACAGGTCAGAGCATTCCAAGTGGTCACAGCAGAGCATCCCCTGCAGTCAGGGACCACCCCAGTCCATGCCATGGGGGGGGGGCACTCCAGGGTGCTGCCCCACCCTGCCCGTACGGCAAGGTGGAGGCAATGGTGCAAACTGGGAGTCCCACCAGCCCCACAGAGCACGAATATCCAGCGTAACCTTAGCCAGGCACCTTCATCACCGGTTCATAGAGGACCCCGGCCCCACGTCGAGCCCCAGGCTGGGGTCCCGTGGTGGCCGCAGTCCCCTCTCTGCACCCAGCAGAGCCTGTGGCTCTCGTAACGGGTATTTATGGGAGGAAAATTCCACCACCACCATCTCCCTCAAAAAAGGAACCACCGGGTTAATAAACTGCTGGCAAAACAAAGCAGGGGAATTTCCATTAAGCAGAGTAAAAAGGTAATTAGTGCCCACCTCACCCAACATCGCGGTACCCAGCCCAAGTCCCAGCTGTGCTGGCTCCCCACGAGAAGGCAAATTTGGGTCAAAACCCTGGTTTCCCAGAGGGAATTGCATTTCTCACTTGTTACCTCCACCAAAGTCACAAGAGAAGGAGAAGAATGAGAAGGAGAAGAATGAGGATCAAGCAGTACAGCCCCGGTGTGGACATGGTTGTTCTGGTGCTCTCCAAGAGCAGTATTAAACATCAGACATACTGCAGGTTGGTTTTTTTGCTACACACCACCATATTTTTACTGAAAATTGACCCAAAAAAAAGGAAAGGGGAAGGGTTTAAACTGTAAATTTCAGAATATGGAAAAAAAAAAGTCAAACCAAATTGAAAGTTGGGTAGATTTTTCTGTTAAAAATTAAGAAATTATGTCTTTGCAGTATGCTGTGGTTGCAAAAGCAAAACCAGTCCACCCATTGCTGCCCCACCTGTGGGTCAGGAGGGGGCCAGAGAAAGCCTCTGTTGAGGGTCTCAGACCACAGCTAAAACAAAGCCCGTCCGCTCTTTAGTGCCAGGTAGCACCTTCCCATCCTTCACACACATTCTCCACCCTCAAAACAGAATTATAGACTCACAGAACGGTTTGGGTGGGAAGGGACCTTAAAGCCCATCCAGTTCCAACCCCCCTGCCATGGGCAGGGACACCTTCCACTAGACCAGGTTGCTCCAAGCCTCATCCAGCCTGGCCTTGGACACTTCCAGGGATGGGGAATCCACAGCTTCTCTGGGCAACCTGTCCCAGTGCCTCCCCACCCTCTGCGGGAAGAACTTCTTCCTGATGTCCATCTCAGTCTCCTTATTTCAGTTTAATCCCATTACCACTTGTCCTGTCACTCCCTGCCCTTGGGAAAAGTCCCCTCCACCCGGCACTG